GGTCTAGGCCCGAAACGTCAGCCTTCCTTCTCCTCTGATGCTGCTTGGCCTGCTGTGTTCATCCAGCTGTACACCTGGTTATCTCTGTCAGGTTGTGTTAGATGTCAGATATCCATCTGAACATAGAAAATGAGGAAAATGACATTTTGATTTCAAAGTTTTGTTGAATTTAGATTTTCTCCATCAAGATCAGAAATTGCCACAGGAAAAGAGTAAAATGGTTAAATGTGAAGATACTGCTGTCTAAAAGACAAGGAAATTATCAACGAATTTAATAACTGGTCAATTCTATAGGTACTACCAGCAGGCCCCTTAGAAAGTAGTGTTTAATTACGCTGTTTCACTGTTTATGCAACCAATATCCGTACCCATCTGTAAGCGTTAGCAAAAAGAGCATCTAAAGCAAATGAAGTTTGATAAATGCTTCAAGAGTCAATTTGAAAAGCCAGAGTAATCAATAAAAGAAAGGAGCAAATAAAGTGTCACATTCATCAGAGTTCGTGCATTATATAGAGTGCTCTTCCTGCCCCCAGTGATGAGCTGAAAGGGTCTCAGTTACAAGTATTGGGGTTTGGAAAGTGCTATCATTTCAGAAAGAGGTGTCATTTTGGCTAAATCTAAGCATGCTGTTTATTTCATAGCTGACAGAACCCATGAAGAAAGATTTCTTTTTAATTTTATAGGGCATGTGGAGTGACATTAATTACAGCGCTTTTACATAGAAACGCAACTGGAAAAACTCACACAGAAAGTCTGGAGCCGTGCTTCTAAGAAAGGTAGTTTTGCTTGGAGACCGAATCTTCCAGAGAACAAAAATGCAATCCTGCCACTTTTATTGAATGCTGCACTTAAAGGAACAATCCTTAGTGTTGTATAAGAGCTTCGGTACTCTGGAGTGACCTTGCGATGAAGTCACAGAACTACACATCACTCTGTGTAAATATTACAGTGTGGGTGGAGTTAGAATATATTGGAGGATTGTAGACCTGAAGGAACATTCCGGGAGACCACTACAGTGAGACTCTGTTAGAAACACAGAGCACCTGGACTCGGATGCACAAAGAACATAGATTAGTCATTAGCTAATGTAAGTACAAGACAGATCTTTGTATATCTATGATTACCATGTATCTCAGTATAAAGGTATAATAGTGTTACTTTGAAGTTAAAGCCTGAAGGTAGAAGTAGACTTTGCCTTCTGACGAGCCAGTCTGTAAAGAACCCAACTACTATAACTTGGGTTTTAAGGGATTGTTTCAAAATACTATCAACGACAACAATTAATATGGTGCCTTTAACATAGTGAACTCACCGAGATGCTTCTGTTAAGAATAATCAGACAAAAAATAAAGAGCTAGGAGGACAGGTGACCAAATGCAGAGAGACATATTGAGAAAGGTGTTCAGTAAGTGATTCCAGAGCTTTGAGCCTGGATAGTTGAAGACACAGCCACGGTTGGTGTGGCAAAGAGATTTTGTAAAAGGCCAGAGATGGAGGAAAACCAGTTCTCATAAGGGTTGTCACGTGATAAAAGATGAGAAAGAGTGAAACCATGAAGAGATTTAAAAATGAGAATTGGAATTATCAAGTAGAAGCATTTGTGAGGTGAGGAGAGGTGGCAAGCATCAATGGGAGCACTGGAGAGTCAGTGACCATGGGTTATGCGTTATCTAAAATATGACATGGCCACCAATGTTCAGGATCAGTTCGAGCTTCCCAAGCGCTTTCATGTGTAGATCCAAGCAACACTATGGTTTTACTTGGAACTTGGTGATCTGAATCTTAGGTTTCTTTTCTGTAAGTCAAATTTGTGCTGAATTTTTTTGGAGGTTTCTAGCCAGGAGGTCTAGCAAGTTCTCTTGCCCTATCTTACCAAACTGGCCTCATTAATTATCTACCACATCCATATGGCATCTCTCGTATCCGATTTCAACCCCATTACACCACGCTCCATTCCCAGCACTCGCCACTCACCACTCACCTAATATCCCAGAATTCACCAGCATCGGTTGAGCCTGTGCCATCTTTAAAAGTCCGGGGAAGCCCTGTCATTCAGGAACTGCCCTGCACGGTAGATGACATTTGCCCTGACATGGCAGACGGGGGAAAATTGTCAACTCATTTTATGGGTAGAGGCCTGAAGGTCCTGCTGGATGGGGTCGAGCCCGGGTGGGACTTACCCGCTCCCCGAACCAGCTTTGGAGGCCATTATACCAGATCATGCTCGCCTGGTCCGAGGTAGCCACCCAGTTTAAAGCAATCTCCGTCATCTGGAGGAATGTCCAGCAACATGGGAAGGTCAGGTATCCTTCTCCACTCCACCAGAATAAGTTCGCATGGTGGCTCAGTGGTTAGCACTGCTGCCTCACAGCGCTGGAACCCGGGTTCGATTCCACCCTCGGGTGACTGTCTGTGTGGAGTTTGCACATTCTCCCCATGTCTGCGTGAGTTTCCTGCAGGTGCTCCGGTTTCCTCCCACAGTCCAAAGATGTGCAAGTTAGGTAGATTGGCCATGCTAAGTTGCCCGTAGTGTTCAGGGATGTGTAGATTAGGGGGATGGGTGGGATGTGCTGAGGGTTGGTGTGGACTTGTTGGGCCGAAGGGCCTGTTTCCACACTGTAGGGATTCTATGATTCTATGATCTTCTGCCTGATAGGTTGTACACATTGTACCTCTGCTACTGTATCCACCTCCCATTAAGGCTCATGTTCTACCACTGTCATTAATATCTGCAACATGTTCCTACTCACTCTGACTATCCCAAACTCCGCATACTCTCTGCATTGCCTAATCACTTGATCAGGGCACCACCAGTCATACCTGTGCCATGCACTTCCATTCCTGTCTTTCTCATTCCAGAATTTTAAAAATAATGCCCACAACAGGGCAGAAGGGGTCAAGATGACTGGTGTGCTCCACATCATTTGGCTCCTCGTCCATGATGAGATGATCTTGAGTCTGACTAGCCCGATCAGGGCCTGGACTTATATCGGAAGATGCCCTTCACTTACTGTGCCGGAAGCCCCTGAGCAAAGGCTGAGGGACTTGACTGAAGCCCACCAAAAACGATGACAAGTTTCCTGGTTTTATGTTTATGTAACAGCCTGGCAAGACAGAAACCATGTGAGCCTGGTATCTCTGGCTGAGGAAGCAAAGCATAACAAGGCAAAGCAATACAAGGCAAGGCAGAGGTGCTGAGAGCAACCATTTAGGCTTGAGCAAGAGCAAACGAAGAGTACAGAAACGTATCCTGGTTCAATCCATGACCTGGGCACATGGTGCTGCGTGCACAGTGTCCATGCTGCACTATAATGAGAATTGCTGAGAGAGCATTAAAATACAGAAGTGTTTTGTAAGCGGATTGGAAGTATGCCATGAAGGTTGCTAGAGGCTGGCCAATGTCATAGAGTCATAGAATTATGTGGCACAAGAACAGACCCTTTGATCCAACTTGTCCACACTGACTAGATACTCTAAAGTAATGTAGTCCCATTTGTCAGCATTTGGCCCGTATCCCTCTAAGCCGTTCCCATTCATATACCTGTTCAGATGCCTTTTAAATGTTGTAATTGTACCAGCCTCCACCACTTCCTCTGGCCGCTCATTCCATCCATGTACCATCCTCTGCATGAAAAAGTTGCCCCTCAAGTCCTTTTTAAATCTTTGCCCTTTCACCTTAAACTTATACCCTCTAGTTTTAGACTCACTCATCCTCGGCAACAGACCTTGACTGTTCTCCCTATCCATGCCATACCCTTCCTGACTTTATAAACCTCTATAAGGTCACCCCTCAGCCTCCAATGCTCCAGGGAAAAAAGCACCAGCCTATTCAGCCTCTTCCTATAGCTCAAGCCCTCCAATCCTGGCAACATCCTAAATCTTTACCCTTTCAAGTTTAATGATATCTTTCCTCTAGCAGGGAGACCAGAATTGAATGCAGTATTCTAAAAGTGGTCCATCTAAAGTCCTGTACAGCTGCAACTTGACGTCCCAACTGACCAATGCACTGACCAATGAAGGCAAGCGTACCAAACGCCTTCTTCACCATCCCGTCCACTCCACTTTCACGGCCAATTGAGCATCAATTTCTCCAGTCATCCAGCATTCCTTACACTGTCTTGTATTTGTTTTTTGGTATATTCTGTGTCTGTGGACTGTTTAAGGTGATTAGAGTGATGTGGTCTTCCTATTGGATGTGGGAGATTAGGGAGAATTTCAGTGTTCCTGGAGATTACCTCTGCAGGAAGTGTGTTCAGATGCGAATCCTATCGGATTGCATAGATCAGTTAGAGTGGCACTTAGAGGCACTGAGGAATTTACAGGAGACAGGGGGTGTGATGGTTGGCAGCTTCAGGAAGGTGGAAGAACCACAGATACAGTCAAGTGAATGGTTTACCACAGAAAAGGTAGGAGAGGTAGGCAAGTAGTGTAGGAGTCTCCCCATCTCAAGCATGTATGTTGTTTTGGATACGGTAGTGGATGATGGCATCTTACGGGAATATAGCACTGACAGCCACGTTTCGGGTACCGAAACTGACTCGACTATAATGAGGGATATGTCAGGTTCCAAGCGATCGATTGTGGTAGGGGACTCTCTAGTCGGAGGCACAGATAGACGTTTCTACAGCCAACAGCAAGGCATCAGAATGGTGTGTTTGCCTCCCTGGTGCCAGGGTCAAGGATGTCTCAGAGAGGGTGCAGAATATTCTCAAAGGGGACAACGACCAGCAGGAGGTCATTGTACACATTGGTGTCACCTACATAGGAAGAGAAAGTGATGAGGTTCTGCAGAGAGAATATAGGAAATTAGGCAGGAGGTTAAAACTTAGGTCCTTGAGAGTAGTACTATCTGGATTACTCCCGGTGCTATGAGCTAGTGATGGTAGGAATAGGATGATAGAGCAGATGAATATGTGGCTGAGGAGCTGGTGCAAGGGGCAGGGATTCACATTTTTGGATCATTGGAATTTCTTCTGCAGTAAAAGTGACCATATAAGGACGGTTTGCACCTGAATTGAAAGGGGACCAGTATTCTGGCAGGGAGATTTGCTCATGCCATTTGGGAGGCTTTAAACTGGGAGGGGTGGGGGCAGTGACGGTGGGACCCAAAAAGATAGTGAGAAACAAGATAAGTCCGAGGCTAGTTCAGTAGAGAAGAGGAGCAAGTTAAATAGTCAAGGCAGGCCAGAGCAACGGAGCAGAGAACAAGGTAAGACTGATGAGGGCAGAGAACAAAGTAAGGCAGATGAACTCAGGAAATGTTTGGGATCATGAATTGGGATATCATAGCAATTACAGAAACATGGCTCAGGGATGGACAGGACTGGCAGTTTGATGTTCCAGGATATAAATACTATAGGAAGGATGGAAAGGGGGCCAAGAAAAGAAGGGGGTGGCATTTTTGGTTCAGGATAACATTACAGTTGTATGGTGGAAGGATATTCCTGGGAGGACGTCTAGTGAAGTTTTATGGGTTGACCTGAGAAATAAGATTTTTATTGGGATTGTTCTATAGGCCCCCCAATAGTCAGTGGGAAATTGAGAAGCAAATTTGTAAGGTGATCTGAGATATCTGTAAGAATAATCGGATTGAAATGGAATTAGGCAGGACCCTTTGAAAAGTTGCTTGGGAGAAGCTATTTGCTGGTTAAGGGCTGGTTGGAAAGTGGGGCGCCTACAAAAATAAGATAGTGAGAGCCCAGAGGCAGTACATTCCTGTTAGTGTGAAGGGCGAGGTTGGTCACTGGACCTGGGTTGCCTGTGGAGTTTGCTGTGA